TTCTGAAACTAACTCGGTCCTCAAACAAAACGGGCCGGGCAATTTTCGAAAACTGCAATTTGCAGCATGCAACCCCAAAGAGGAGAGAGGGTTTCCATAGCTCTCGAGCGATTTATAGGCCCTCCTCCCCCTCCTGCAAATATTACTCCTCGACGTGCACAATATATTATATACATGTACGCTGGTGCGTGCGTGCATCGCGCTCTCGAGGATCAGCCGAGGAATATACACACACATATATATTATATATACATATAATATGCATTATGCGCTGTAAAAACCTCGAGGGCGGTAGTGTATACTTACACACTTACGAAAATAGCGCTAATAGCCCGTACAGTTGCCAAAAATATGGCGTCATTAATACTGCGCCTCCACCTCTTCCCTGAAGCTGGTACGTACATTATATTACATTATAAATGCATTCTTTGGTCAAACTCGTAAAATACTCACACATATTTATGTACAAAGAAGTACACAGTACACATATGCATCCTTTGGCTCTCACGTGGTGTGTTTTTGATGGGCCATCGTATACGATTCCACCTGTCTCGTTAATAAGGCCATCATCTGCACGTGCCTCGAATTTATATATATACGTGCAATTTACTCGTCGTTCTCGTATACGCTCCTCTTCCTTACACACGCGGATGTGTCAAAGTTTTACGTACTTATCGCGTCAAGTTTATACACGCGTCGTTCTTTTTTTTTTTTTTTTTTTTATCTTCGTCTCGAAATCTCCGGGATCGACAAGTAGCTTTTTTAATAATCAGCGCATCCCGTCGCCGTGGAAATATAAAATGTTTTTTTTTTTTTTTTTTTTTTTCAAGAGACAGATTTTACTGTACGGATGCACGGCTAGTTTTCTTTCGCAACTCTACGGAGCAGGCTATATTCGTGTGATTATCGTTTTGTATATTTTACAACTCGCGTTTCGATCGAAGCCAAAAGGGACATTAGGAACTATTAACTTTTACGGCACCTTCGGCTTTATAAATGGCCCAAGCTCGTAAATTAGAAATAGTTCACCACGTATATGTATATATATGTATGTATGTAACCTGGGTGCAGCATAAAAATACCGTACGTACATGTGCGCGTATTTTATATGTTTCGCTAATGAGCCACTCGCGTAAATCAATTCTTTCGGATTGCAGTAATCACCGAGTCGGTGATTAATTAAAGAAGAAGAAAAAAAAGGCATCTCGACTTTACCACAACGCAGGGCGAGAGATCGCGTTATCCGCGATTTTTTTTTTTTTTTTTCTTCACTTTCTGTTGACTTATACAGAGAGAAACTCATTGATAAGTATCTTATCGCTGTCGTCCATCGCATCAATCGCGCGTTATAATCTACAAAAGAGGCTTCTTTTTCGCGCTCGCTGGCACATCCTCGGCACTTTTATCGCGCAAATAATACTCGCGATTGCGATAATGCGAGGAGGGCGCGATAAGTGCACTTATTTAGATTCACGCACAATATATTATACATATTCCTCTCTCTCTCTTTCTCTCTCCTTTCGGTCGTCGCTGCGTGTTTTATCACTGCGCGTTACGTTGCACATGTAGGATAATATACCATATACATATTTTTCTAGAAAGTTCAGTGACACTTGTAGGACCCGTATATATGTATGTATAATCTCGATTCTTACGTAAGTAACGTAATGTGCACACGCGAGATTTTTCGGTGTATACCCATGCCGACCAAACGCCGTTACGTGATTTATTATTATACGTTACGCCGCGCGCAATATTGGCGTAAATGAAAAATCGAAAATCAGGTCAATGACGACTATTAAATTTTTCGCCATCGCGCACACGCGGCGATAAAGCGTTTACGTGTACGTACATGTGACTTTACGACGCGTGTCTTTAATATGGAAATCGGGTAAAGTATATTTTTTTTTTCTCTCTCTATATTTCTCCGATAATATCAATCGAGCGTAATATCATATATAAGCGATAGCTGGGCAGAGAGCGAAAAGAGCCATGAAACACACAGTTCCTCTTTGCGAGAAGTAGCTGAAGGAAGAAAAAAAAAAAAAAAGAGAGGTGGGAGAAACCGGTTCTTCCTAATGAATTTATATTCGATTTGCACAATTGAAACGATTCTCGAGTGTAACACTCGTCGAAATTTCGTCATTTCAATCGCACGTCAAGTTGAATACTATACGACGGAGGCTCGTCGCCGTGTACGAGTACACTTGACTAAAAAAAGAAAAAAAAAAAAAAAAAACGAAAAAATGGTACGAGACTAATGACAACAAAATCTGCATGGGCGCCAGAGGCTGAGAGTGTCATATACATGCGCGCGCGAAAAACGTGTTATGCAAAGCAGAACGTGTTTCTCGGAGCGGCCTGTCGGTCATTAAGTAGAACGCGAGAGTGAGAAACGCGAAAAAGAGCTCCTTTTTTATAAATTTTCGGACTCACTCGCGATTCGCATCGACAACCGATTACGCATCGGCAATAAAACAAAAAAAAAAAAGAACAGATTTTCGATCGTCGACACATATAACGAACCGATGACAAAAGAGGCGAACGAAGAAGAGAAGAAGAAAAAAAAAAATCAAGAGGTATACACATACAGGGAGACTACGACGATGGTTATTAATACATACATTGGGGGGGAGATAAGATGCGCGCGCGTGTGCGTACGCCCAATGTGTTGTATTGTATACACATCGAGAAGAGCTCCTCTCATCTTCTCCTCCGATAAGATAGAGTGTCGGGACGAATAAACTCCTTGAATTTCTCGCTGATTTCATCGGCGCCCCGGTGGCTGAAACGTCGTTACAATATCCCTAATTACTCTCTCTCTGCGTCTATATGGCACTTACAGGGATGTACATATATTTTTTTTTCTTGTACACCCAAAGTTCTGATGTAACAACCTCCTCTCGTCTGCGGCTGCGATTAGATCCGCGTGCAATGGGTTATCTTCTACGTATACTCGCTCACTTTTTTTCTTCTTCTTTTATCCCACCCCCACCTCGGATGCAGGGAATATTTACATTTTTTTTTTGTCTCCGGGTAAATTTATTTTGTCGCGTAATTTGACAAAAATTCATCGTTGGTTGGGGGAAAAAAAAAATATGCGTCAACAGCACCGGGCCCTACTACGCGTAGTAAAAACGAGCCGTGCGAAAACTCCAAAAAGCCGGCTCGGCTCCCTAAAAGCTGTTGTTTTCGCAGCGCGATCCTACATTCCTGCGCACCTGGCCATACTTGCACCTATCCGTATATATAAGACGCTACAGTTTCGGCAGCTCTCTGACCTTTTTTTTTTTTTCCCTTCCATTCTTCTTCTCCTTCTTCTTCTTGAAGAGGGTGCCCCCATAGGTATAGTACACACGTATATATAATACATATACCTACGGGCGCGCACAATAGAACCATACTGCGCAGTAAAATTTTTGCGTCCCCGGAATGTATACATAATTTCTGCTTCCATCAACCCGGGGCTCTTTTAGTCAAGATATATATATAGGGTACTTGTAATTCACGGTAATGATAAAATAAAAAAAAAAAAAAACGATATTATGCAGCGGCGATGAGTTTCCGGTAATTCGATAGTCCCCAATGTCAAACGTAGTACATCTCGCGCTTGTGCACACACGCACGTATACATGTGCAATATATGTATAATAAACACGAACAATCTCTCTTGGCGTTTCGATAAAAAAAAGTGCACACGTCACGAGGTGTAACTGGATACGTGCACGGCGCATTTTATACATTATATTGTGTGTGTTGCACACATGATGCATCTTCTTCGGTCTCTTTCTCCGTGTATACTTACTCGACTATACATATACGGTGAAACTTCCATTTGGGCCAGCTGTGCCCCAACGTAGAGCACAACAACATGCCACAAAGAGACGGAAGGAAAAAAAGAGAGGTCCAGAACGTCTGGAAATCTCCGTCAAGCCGATATACACGTATTTATATATGTATAGGTCCACGCACATTTACACGCTCGTGCGCCGAGTTATTGGTGTTAGTGTATACACGAGTATATATTATAACATATCTACAAAGACGATCGGCTCGTATCTCCATCGTTTCGTCGTCGTCGTCGCCGCACATGTATAATACACGCGCCGAGATATCGAATAGAAAGTACTGCGTCGCGAGAGTCTCCTCGTCAGTTTAATGCCGGAAAGCGTTGGGACAGGGAGTATAATGTGTGGTATACAGAGAGTACACGTTGTGTATATACGTATACATAACTCGATCCCTAAAAAGTAGATACATGTATACATGTGTGTGTATACCTGCTGCCAGATCGTGAATTTTTCGGGCCAAGAAAGTGCGTAAATCTCTTTCCACGGAGAGAGATAATACATACACTCCGGTCCGTCTTCCCTCTCCCGCTCTTCTATTTCCATATTATATACCTGCGTTTTTTTTTTTTTTTTTTTTTTTTTTTTTTTCCTTTCCTCTTTTCTTCCTCCTTTGAAATATTTCGTGTGGAATTTACGAGAACCACTACGATATATTATATACACGTACACCCGCGTACACACACTCGGCGGTAGCTTCGATGGGAAAGGATCGAGTGGTCGTGCGGATAATGAGCGGTCGCAAGCGAAAATTCGCCTCAAAGTTGATAAAGTTTATCGTGCGGCTGCGAAAGACGAGGCGATACAAGAAGCTCATTGACTCGACCAAGGTAAATGCAATTGATTCTTTCGTGAGAGCGTGACCTTGTACACCGAAAGACAAAACGAGGCAATGCCACTTTGGTGCGTTATCTCTCGCGTTCCCTCTCGAGTTCGGAGATTACGGGTATCATCGCGTTGTTGCGTATCGATGAGACTCCGATGTTTAATATTATTGCAAGGCGTGTGTGTATATACACATTAGTCTCCGGGAGCCTTGAATCGAATTTAACGTTGATGATGAAGAAAAAGAAAAAGAAATAAATTTTGGCTTGGAAAAACATAAAGAAAAAAAAAAAAAAATAAGGGGGTTAAACGTGCATTTTCTTGCAGCCCGTCAGCGAGTGGACGTCGTTGAATGTCGTCGAGTGGATGGCGGCTCTAAACCTCTACCGCTATGCCGACGTCTTCAAGTCGAAGGACATCAAGGGCAGCGATCTCCTCAACTTGGATCGCGAGAAGCTGATGGTGAGTTGCTTCGGCGTCGAATTCGCGCGGGTGCATGACTCACGGCGAGTGCATGCAAATTTTTTACTTGATAAAAAAAAAAAACCAGCGAGACGGGAAGTTGTATAAGTTTTTTAATACGTGGGAAATAAAAATTTGTGCAAATATTATTTCGGCGCACACAATGTAAGTATGACGATGGTCTGAAAGCATTGGTGAACCGTCGCCGAGCGTGCAGCGCGCGCGTCGTTAAATTTATTAGGCATTCGTGCACTTACGCTCGGACCGATGATGAAACCGCGCCGTTTAAAAATGAGAGTTTCTCCGTTCGCGCGGACGACTCGACGAGATGATTGAATTTCGTCGGGAGATCGGTATATATCGGGTGGGATGAAAAAAAAAATCGGTAATCAGCTTGCGTGGACTCAACCGCGCGAAAAATTTCAATGTACGAATGACGATGGTCGCGCGGTCGTGAGATCATCGCTGCAAGATCGATTGGAATCGGCAACGTGCAGCGGCGTCGGTTTGTCAATTAGTCGATTTTTTTTTTTTTGTTGCATAAATCGCGATATCGGTAGTAAGACCGGGAAGGAATAAAGAAAAAATTGAATATGACTACTTGCGTAAATGTCCCAACGAGCGATGGATAATTTTTCATCAGTGTACACGCAGTTGACGGGGGAGCCAACCCGGTTCGCTCTCGGCACCGGTTTATCGGCCGATTACGCTCCCCCCCCCCCCCTCTTATATACTCCATATAAAATAGTAGTAGAACCGTACGGGAGGAAAAAAAAGCACGTGGGGCGCGTATACTTTCGTATACACACGTCCATACGGTTTCTAATTAAATATTCGACGAGTGCTATATATCGGCTCTCCTCGCGTAACGTATACGCGTATATATACTACACAGTGAAAGCGTCCGTGCTCCCCATTTATATTATCACTCTCTGGATGGAGGAAAAGTAGTAGAAAAAAAAAAAAAAAAGGTATACCTACGCGCGCGTGTTCCGATTTTTTTCCTCTCTCTCTTACTCCTTAGCGAAGCAGTCATCGGCACATAAATGGATAGCACACTGCTTACTACTATCTTCTCGACGTATAGAGAGAACGCGATGATCCGCGGGGCACGCACGTTTTTCTCGAAAGGTTATTTTAGGTTTGAGGTTACAACGATTACAAACGCGACTCTCTCTCTCTCCCTCCACACATCGTGTGTAGTGTGTTCTCGCGATCGGGCATCACGTATGTTATACGCGCCTCGTATAAAATATAATATATCATACCCGTGTGTGTATGCTGCAGCTGATAAAACTGTTGTATACACAGACATACGCGCGCGCGCACTCGATTCACGTTTTATCGGCGGCGCGGTACAGTACGGTATCTCTCCGCTTTGAGCTCGTCTTATTATCACTATCGGCCGCACTCGTGTGGCACATTATTCGAGCGCAAGTACACGCGCACCGATTTCTCCACTCTCTCTCTCTCTGTACGGCCATTTTTTTCGTTTCGGGTTCGTTTTCTCTCTCCCTCTCTTATATTTTTGTAATTTATCATGATTACGATTATTACCTCTTAATTTCCAGAACATGGGTATAAAGGATGAGTTCCACCAGAAGAACATCCTCGCGTGCATCGAGGAGCTGTGCCAGCCGTCGTTGTCGCCGTCGCCGCCCAGTAGCGAGCTTACGGTCACATCGACGGCCACGAGCACCGGGTCCGCGGATCAACAGCCAAACCAGTTGGACCCGACGTCCCAGCAACAGCACAACCTCGTGCCCCACAGCTTCAGCGTGTTGGAGAAGTGCGACAAGTGCCATAAGTACCTCAGGGGCCTCCTGCACCAGGGCTACATCTGCCAAGGTGAGTCCTGCGGCGAGCATTTACTCGGGGGCTCGATTAGAATTTTCATAACAACGAGAAGGAGACCCTTGAACTCCTCGTCAAAGGAGGGGGAGGGGATGCTATCTCGTCGAGACGACCGGTAACTCGCTATTTCCAGACAAATCGGCGCGAAGTGGAAAAAATATAGAATCTCCCCATACTAACACTTTTGTGCAAATCTTCGCGTTTTGAGCAGTGCGGTTCAAGGATTCGCTCTCTGTTGTTATATTGTTTGCTTTTTATTTTTGGTGAACGAGAGATGCCGTCTGGAGAAGCACTAGTGTATGATTTTTTGCCTATTCACAGGCTTTGAGAGATGGGGGTTGATGATGTTTTTTTTTTTATTTTTTTTTTTATTTTTAAAAAACTTTGGTTTCTTTTCGTTGCAGATTGCGGCCTGATCGCTCACAAAACTTGCTCGGCCACGGGTCTGTCCATGCCATGCAAGCCCTCGGATTCGAACCGAGTCAACAAATATACTTCCGGTGAGTGGTGCTTTATTTTTACCGATCGCTTGAAAATCGGCAAGTTATTGCAGATCGTTTGAGGAGCTTTTGGAGTATTGTAACCACTGTATGGATAAAAGTCTGTTGAAAATGAATTTAAACTGCATGTTCGCTCAATTGGTTGATTGTATATAAATATTAAAAAAACTCACGTGCCCACATGAAATGGTAGTTTTCCTACGAGTTTGAAAAGTCTCTGTTTGCAAACCGAGAGGTTTGCGGCCCGAGCCGAAGGCGAGGGACGTAACGAGGTTCGTAAAGGAGACTTTTCGAACGAGTTCCGGAAAACTGCTTTTTCGCCCGAGGAAGTACCAGCCTCCCAAAACCACCCGAGGGCGGAAAACTGTTTTTTCGCCCGAGGAAGTACCAGCCTCCCAAAACCACCCGAGGGCGGAAAAAATACATTTCAAAACACTCCCGAACCTCCTCAAACGGACTTCCGTAAAAACGATTTGAGCTCACCTCTTCACTGTACAGTACAATAACGATGGGTTGACTATTTGAAACAATTTTATTTTATTTTTTTTCTTTCCCTACCAGTTTTCGGTTTGGCACTGTGCTCGCAATTCGACGCAACGACGCGCAGCGCCCCGCCGATCGTAGAAAAGTGCACCCGGGCCCTAGAGGAGCGCCTCAACACGGACAACTTGCTCGACCTTTACTCGATCTACCACAGCAGTGCACCCACCGAGCAGACGCAAGAGCTCAGGCAGAGGCTCAACGAAGGTAAGCCTCGAACGCCCAAAATCAGATATTTACTTTTCTCAAAAAGGTAAAAGAGTCTGATGAATTTCTATAGTCCACACAGTCCGTATTTCCTCCTTTCGTACTCGGCGAGTTCGCTCCGAGCATGTGTATTTAAAAAGTTTGACATCGATCTATCGTGTCTTTTCAGATGTGCGGAACACCGATCTGAACCCGTACACACCGCAGTGCATAGCGAGCGTGCTGAAAAAATTCCTGATGGAGCTGCCGGATCCAGTGATACCCGTGCAGTGGTACGACAGATTTCTCGATGCCTTGTGTGAGTACCAATTCTTTTATCTCCACCTTTTTTTATCACGCGTATGTGGGTTTTTAATGTACGGGGTTCAATTGCAGCAGGTACGAGTGACGAGCAATGCGCGAAACGGCTCGCCCAGATGGTGGATGAGTTGCCGTTACATCACCGGAGCACTCTACGCCACCTGATGGCCCATTTTTGCCGCATCTGCAAGGTACAGCACTCGCGAGGCTTCGTGGATCCGCCGATCGTACTCATCCAGGTCCTCTGCCATCTGTTCCTGCGACCGCCCTGGGAACAAATAATGTAAGTATCGAACGATAAAATCGAATCACGTGCCTCAAATCAGATCTTCGCTTTGACCTTGGACGTTTTTATTTATTTATTTAATTATTCCCGTTTGGCATATCAGACAAATCGTGCACAACATCGAGGCTCACATACGCATAATCGAACTCCTGCTGTTGCACTGCGACTGGGGTGAGCGTTTGCCCGAATTCGCTAGTGCTCCCCAGCTACCGCCGCGCAAGGTGTCCAGGCACATACCACTCATGGACGCCGAGCTCATCACCACCTTCGAGGAAACGGAACGCGAACGTCAAAGGTGAGTTGGAAAATTTCGCTCTACACACCGTCACTCTTGTTTACGAGTGTCTTTTAATCAGTTTTTAACGCAACTTTTTCGAATTAGCTTAACAAAGCCCGCTCGAGCACGCAGTCGAACAAAGCATTCGGTTCCGCTTGAAATTTTGCCAATTCGGCAAACACACAAATACCGGCTTGTACGTAGTTGTTGCAGTATATAATAGGCAATAAACATCGCGAGAGTGTGACACCAGGCTTAAAGTTTTTGCAAGTGTGATAACTTGTTTACGAGTCGCTGGAGGAGGGGGGTTTGAAATTTCAATGAAATTCCGGGGTAGAGTACGCGAAGACGAAAGATCGAGCAAACAAACAAAACTCTAATTCGGTGCTCTTTGTTTATTTCACTCGGTACTTATTTTCGCGAAATACTTGAAATTTGTTCTGCATGAAATCAAACCTAACGATATTTTTAATCCTCCCGACAGCAAAGAGCAGCAATACCAAATGCAGCAAATAACGAGGCCGCGCACGCTCGCGGAGGCCGAGTGGTACTGGGGCGACATAACGCGCGACGAGGTGAACGAGAAGATGATCGACATGCCGGACGGTGCTTTCCTGGTTCGCAACGCCTCTTCCAAAGGCGGCGAGTACACGCTGACCCTTAGGAAAGGCGGTGCCAACAAACTCATCAAAATCTGCCACAGGAATGGCAAGTACGGCTTCTCCGAGCCATACAACTTTAACTCGGTCATCGACTTGGTCGAACACTACCGCAACTGCTCGCTCGCGCAGTACAACTCCACGCTGAATATCAAACTGCTTATTCCCATCTCGCGGAACCAGCAACAGGTGACTTTTCTTTATCATGACGTTGAATTGATTTTTATCTCGAGATTATTTTTTTAAACTTTTTACAAAACGTCGTGGGTGTTTTTTTATTATTTTTTTTTTTTAATCTCTAGGACGACGAAATCGGAAGTACAGCTGATATCACGAAGGTCATTCAAAAGTTTATCGATCTCGACAAGGAGCTGACAGCATTATTAAACAAGTATTATCAAACTTTGGATTCCTACAAACGCACATCCAACGAGGTGAAGATGAAACAGCAAGCTCTGAAAACCTTCGACGAGATGCTGAGGATGTTTGAAGAACAGTCCAAGCTGCAAGAGAGATGCTGTTCCGAGGCGCAGCCGCACGAAATCTCAAGGTATGCTTGATCGATGATGAGGAAGATGTTTAATTTCCCCAAGATGCGGACACATGTAATGAATAAATATTTTTTTTAGTGTCTCGGTCAACGCGGAGTTACTGGAGCACAAGCTAAAAGCGGTTAAGGAGAGCAAGTTACAGCTAGACCATCACATGCAGGCCGAGGTAGCTGTGAACAGAGGCCTCGAGCTCGATCTCAGCAAAATACGCGTCGAGCTCTTCCACCTGATCCGTTCAAGAGATAAGCACCAGGCTTGGCTGATAAAGCATGGCATGACTCAAACAAAGATAAACCAGCTGAGCCATCAGTACAACCCGAAGCTGGACGCCGAAATCGATCTCGACGTGCATAAAGACGAAAAGACCTGGTTGTTCCTCACAGGATCGCGTTCCGATGCTGACAAGGCACTCCACAATAAACCCGATGGCACCTTTTTGATTCGAAGATCGAGAATCGGACAATACGCCTTGTCAATCATGTACGTATACGGTCTCTAATGACCAGGTTGAAAGTTGAGAATTGCATGACGGCTTCATAAACGAATTTTTTTTTTCTCTGTCTATAGGTGCAATGGTATGGTAAACCATTGTATAATTTACGAAACGGAGCGGGGCTATGGTTTCGCGGAGCCGTACAACATCCACGAGTCGCTACTTCATCTCGTGCTCCATTACGCTCAGAACTCACTCGAAGAGCACAACGAGTGTCTGACGACGACTCTCGCGTTTCCGGCCTTTGCCTCGCCCGAAGTCTTTTCCAAGCTTCAAGCTCAGCGTCAGCTCCAGATTCAGCAGTCCAGCCTCCCAGCATCGCAGTTTTTGCAGAACCAGTTTCCACCAGCCCAGCAGCTTTTTGTCGCGACATCAGTCCAACAGACGTAAAAGCCTTGAAGATTGGAAGCGACTTTTTCGCTTGAATTTTGTCTTTATTTTTTTTTCGCACCGTTTCCTGAGCGCGACTTTAGAGCGTCAGGTGGTGATCTTTACTCTTGAACGGTGAAACAAAACGGTGATGACGATGGTTTTCCTCGTTCGGTTTGCAAAATTGTCAGCTTGGACACGCTAGCCTTTTTACGATTGAAACTTTTTTTACTGTGATGGTTGAACGTAATTGAGGGATGATTCGGACCGTAACGTATGACTGCAATGAAAGGGGTCGAATCTATTTTCGACTTGTTACAGCTGGTGGTATTGCAAATGAACGGAGGGAACCGTCTGCGTGCGAGCTTTAACTTTTACTTTATTTTATTTATTTTATTTTTTTTTCGGTTCGTTCGGTCGTTGAAGCGAGCGTAACTCATTAAGAACAACGCGCAAGTCGTCATCGACTTTTTTTACATACAAAACACGTAGAATTTCTAAATGTCCATGCTTGCGTAAATGTACATTATACAACCCTTTCGTTCGTTTATTTATATACGTTGGTCGACGCTGGTCGATGCAAAAGAAAAAAAAAGTAAATAACGTCGGTCAAGGTGATATTAACGTTTAACAAAAATATACACAAGGAGGACGTGAATCCTAACGATAATAATAATAATATTAATGATTAATATTAATAATTTTAATATAATAATAATGATGATGAATTGTACGCAAGTACGAAAATATACATAGATTTATATGAGAATTAAAAAGTTAATAAATGAATAAAATGCGCGTCGGGTACGCGTGAGAGGCTACCGTGAAACGGTACACGAGTGCGCGGTAAATGAAACTTGATCAGAAGAACGAAAGAAAAAGAAATTGAAGAAATGAAAGTCGGCCCGTCGCTGCAGATGGACATAATTATTCTCTTCGCTTTTCCATCCTCGGATCAGTCGAGGATGTGAGACGGACTTTTTCCATGAGATACAACGAATAAATACAGTCGAGTGATGGAAAAAGAGATGATGGTTATCACACGAAAGCAAAGTCGAAGAAGAGTCACACGAGTGAAAGGAGAATTTTTTATACATAGATTGTAAGTGCTTCCGTGCCAGGGTACGAAGAAGATTATTAAAATAGATATATGCAGAGATAATGATGACGGTGATCATGGCGATGATTGATGATTATGATGATGACAATGAGGATGATGAAGAAAATGATGATAGTGATCACGAAGATGAAGACGAGAAAGATTTTTTAGTAATAATTGTCTGTGATTTAACAAATATCCGCTGTGCGATAAATGAAAAAAAAAAAAAATTTTAAAGAAGAACGACACAAAGATCATCGTTCCTTCGTTGGTGAGCAAGAAGCTTTAGGGACATAAAGAGTTTTATGCATTTAAGATGTTAAGATGAAGTGAAAGGTGATTAAAAGGAAAACAATGGGATGTAAAGGAGATGATGTAATACCGATGAAACAAAATTATTGTGATCGGAGGGCGGAGATTGAGAGAAGAGGAAAGGAAAAAAAACAAAAAAAAAAAAACAAAGAACGTAGTATGTGATGTTAGACCGGGCGGGTAGCAGGTCTGTCCTCGGTTCACATGTCGAACGGGATCTCCAAAGCCACTCCACAAAATGAAGATAAATGAGAAAGATAAACAATTAATAATAGTAATAAAATAATAATAATAATAATCAATACACTAACAGAAAAAAAGTAAAAAAATAAAAAAGACAGTAGTATGAATATATTCAATCAAGATAAATAGAGAACGCTTAAGAGCCTGAAAGAGAGTTTTTGTTTTTCATTTTTTACGTGTACGAATGGTAGTAAGCATGATTGTCTATGTGTGTAAGATAACAAAAGAACATTTTAAGAAATATAAATATAAATATAT